CGGCTACTAAGACTCCAAACCAGATGGGCCTTGACCTACGTCACAAGGCTAATAAACGGCAGTGCTGGGAGTAAGACCCCAAACTCCTACCTTTCAATTTCATAGGATTCTCAAGACCATTTTCCTGGAGGCTGAACCAGTTTATAGTGGGTTCATAGGGAATATTAATATCTAATTCAGGTTTCCATGTGCTCTGTAGGATTGCCCATACTCTTATCTTCTGAGAATTCTCCATTCTTTCCAGATAGTAAGGGAGATCCTTTGGGCACAAAACCCTGTTAGAACATGAAATTTGATAATAGGACCTAGGAATCTTGCCTCTCTGTTTGATACTCTGTTAACATCCTGACCACTGAAGAGCATCAAGCCCCTCTCTCATGACTCTGGATTAGGAAAGAATCGCCAAGCGGGGTCGGAAACTTGTGGATTATGACAGTGCCCGACACCACCTGGAGGCCGTGCAGAATGCCAAGAAGAAAGATGAGGCCAAGGCTGCCAAGGTAATAAAAAAAAAATTTTTTTTAAGCCTAGTAAAACCTTCCTGCCCTCTCTCTCCCCATGATGCTGGCAGGTGGCTAGGCCACACTGGGCTTAGGAAATGATTAATTCAGCATCCAGCATCCTCAAGGAAATTCTGTTTCTTCTGACACTGATGCTCTAAGGATAGCCAGAGACTTGAGGCTGGGAAGGGCATGGGCCTGGGGAAGAAAAGACATGGCTCCAAGTAAGCCTAGATCCTGAAACAATGCAGAGGATGAAAGAAGCAGCTTCTGGCCTGTGATTCAGGATTGAGGGGGATTGTGCTTTGTCTTTTACCACCTAGGCAGAGGAAGAGTTCAACAAAGCTCAGGCTGTGTTTGAAGATATGAACCAGGAACTACTAGAGGAGCTGCCTGTTCTTTATAATAGGTAAGGAGTGAGATTCAGGAAAGTGCTGGACTCATGTCACCTCATGAAAAAAGAGCCCTGGTGCAAGAGCCGAATGTAGCCTCAGCCCTGCTCCTAACTTGCTATGTGATATTAGGCAAGCTACCTTATCGCTCTAGACCTTGGTTTCTTCATCTGCAGTTCAGAGATAACCATCCTTGTCCTGCCTGCTTTTCTGGGTGTAAAGACAAGGTGCTTCTTGGATAGGAGAGATCTTGGCAAGTAAAGTGCTGTCATCATGCATACTAAGAATATCTGGTTTCATGCACAAGGGTGTATTGTTTTAAACAAGCTTTGTGTGTAACCATCCAGATTGACATAGATTTACAGAAATAAACCAGGGGATGATTATTTGCATTAATGAAGATGCCTTTGCTTCACAGTAGGTAAAAGCGTTTAGATGTAAATTTTCTACATTGGAAGAAGAATCTGAGCAGAAATTCTATTTGTATCCTATGTTCTTTTCACTGCACAAGATATACTTTAATGCAGTTGTCAGTATTTCATATTGTCACTTATTCATATTAGTCTACATATGATGGAGCCTTTTTAATGACTACATGTGTTCTGAAACATTAATTATGGGACTCCTAATTTAAATAGAATTGAAATTTTATAGTTTCTTTACATGTAAACTTCCCCAATTCATTTCCAGTAGAATTCCATTAATGTACATATAGCTTCATAGAAGCTCAATATTGCATAATGAAAATGAATAATTGCTTATGATAATAATTATAATTGTATGGCCTTATATTTATATAGTACTTTAAAAATTCTTCAAAACACTTTCATGTCTCCTTCCATACCTAAAGAGCCTGAATCAGATAACTTCATGCAACTAGAGATTTGTCACACTTTGGTGTCCACCTGGACTGATAGTGTCTCTTCCGGCCTTCCTGCTCCTGAGAGTCAAGTGCGCTCCTGGCCTGGCTTTGAGTAATCCACATCCCAGAACAACCTGAGTCTTAGGATGTGGGGTGCCTTTCTCTGTGGAGCCTTGGTGGAGGCTGACTTTGGCTTAAGCTGCTACCTTGTATTTCAAGCATAGTCTCCCTTTACCAACCCCTAACCTGTATGTGCTTGTTGTTTTGCCCCCTGATAGTCGTATTGGCTGTTATGTGACCATCTTCCAAAACATATCCAACCTGAGGGACGTCTTCTACAGGGAGATGAGCAAGGTAAGAAACAGATGGACAATTAAGATACCTGGGTGGGTTTTTCTAGTAAACATGTAGGTAGTCCTAATTTACTTCTACATAATCTCATTAAATATCCTTATCAGCACCACAGATTTTTGCCTTTTTCTCATAATTAAATAATAGCACTTGGGTGACTGTGTTGACTGTATTAAAGCACATGTATACATGTCAGAAGGTCCTTTTCAGTAACAACGGAACAATAACAGCATCCAAACTTGAACTTCAGCTTAATAAAGGAGGTTTAAGCCTACAGAAGGAACAGCTGAAATGGGGATCCAAGTTGTGAAATCTCTCTTTCGTTGCCAGGGAGCAGATAGGGCAGTGTTTAAACATAAGTCAGTTTCTCAGGTAGTTGGTCTTGAGTAGAGCCAATCCTGTTGAGTGACAGGCAGCCATAGAACATGACCTCATGGGGTCCTTTCTAGCCCTGGGATTCCAAGACTCTTTGCTATTACAGTATTAATTATATTCATATCCACATCCATACATGTTTTCTCCACAGTTACTCTGGCTAAATTATGATTTGCCTACTTAATATTTCAATGAGTTTTCATTCTCTGGGTCACCTGAGAAAAGCTAGAACCTCAAACCAAATATCAAGGACCCAGGCTTAAGTAAGCTGCCAGTCTGATGGAAGAGGCAGAACTTAAGAAGGAAGTCAGGGACGAAAGGGTGGTGGGACAGGACCCTGGACACTAGGGCAAAAGTGATGAGGAAGAATTTTGTAGGTAAGGGTGGGGAGGTTTTATTTTGGGGAGCTGTCGGAAAGAGGAGGGAGGGGATGTGCCAGTCTCAGATTCAATGTGGCTAGCACCCCTTTCTCTCTTGCTGGCTCTAGCTGAACCACAATCTCTACGAGGTGATGAGCAAACTGGAGAAGCAACATTCCGACAAGGTCTTTGTGGTGAAGGGATTATCAAGGTGAGCAACTTCTGAGACTCTTTCCTGCTTCACTTGTCCTATGTGTGAATGTGTTCAACACTCTCATCTCCAGTCCCAAATCTTGGCCTTTCCATTGTATTTATGTGCATGATATTGTTTGCTGTTTATACGACATTCCTATGTAAACTCTTTTTATGAAATATTTCAGCTATAACTAAAGGTATAAAGAATAACACAACAGGGCCAGCTGAGTGGCTCAGTTGGTTAAGAGTTGGCTTAAGAGTATGAGCTCTGAGCAACAGGGCCGCCGGTTCGATTCCCACAAAGGCCAGTGACGTTGCGCCCGAGCTGAGCTGTTGCTGAGCTGCCAACAGGTGGCAGGATGGCTCAGCTGGTGTAACAACAAGACTGCCTGTGTGATGGTGGGCTATGCCCACCCGCAACTAAGA